TGGGACCTGTTGCCTTTACAATTCCTCAATCAAGTGATTATCAGTAATTCAAACAATATCCGGAATAAAAATTGTTTATAAATTCTAGTTAATAACGTAGAAAGAAACTGTTGCGCTTACAGCAGCAAAAAAGTCAGATTATAAAACTTGGAACTGCGACGTAATGGCAGACCTGTTAAACGCCATATTCAACACCACAGCCAACTTCGTAGAGCAGAATACTTCATAACATTAATATAATTTTGTTATATTACACTCTACAGACCCTGATAATTTTTGATGGCAAAGAAGACGAGAAGTGACACAGTCCGTAATAACTTGAATACCGACACGAAATTATAATCCTTAAAGCACAATCAGAAATAAAATAAAAGTATCCCCGCAACTTAAGCTACTTCCCATGTTGCCTGTACTACTTACCCAGTGTTAACGTGGAAGCCATTTTGTATTTCGAAAAGAATGTTTTCAGCTCGTTTCTTACGCACTATTAGAAACGTACTTCTCTCTGCTTCTAGAACTTCTCGATCAACAAACAGGTTACTAATGCGTTTCAATATACCAATCGAATGGGTTTTATAGTAATCCAACAATGTGTAAATATGGTCCGACAACAATGGTCAGCTTTTATGCGAACTCCTGCGTGCATTGTTGTTACCTAAGAAACTGATTGTTGCGTCATCCGTTTACTCGGCATTGTTGTGTTTCATAACTGCCGTCAACAATCTGCTTTTGTTATTGCGGAAAAAGCTGAGCTGTGAATCGCTTGTAGAAGAAGTGCGCCGTAGACTAGATAATTTTATGCTGTTAAAAAGTTTTAGAATATCACAAGTACTTATCTTATATAAGAGTTATTAAGAAATCTGTTGCATCATACTATGTAGAGATGGATGACATCGAAGCTAAAATAGTCCGTAATGCTGAATATATGAGACACTACAGAAAACGTAAAAAAATATAAGTATTAAATAATGAACCTGAACGTTTATCCCCAAATATACAGTGATGGATTGGGCGAGGTGGCCCAGTAGCATGGCCACCGAGGTCATCGGACCTGACTCCATTGGACTTTTATCTGTGGGGTCACTCAAAGTCCGTCGTTTATGCAACACCCATAAACAATGACGACCTATGGGAACATGTACAGATGATTCGAGGAAACCCTGGTGTGTACGAACGAATTCATCAGTTTTGTGTACATCGTGCTCGTGCATGTGTTGAGAATGGAGGAACAACCTTTGAGCATCTGTTATAAAGAAACACCCCTGTCCTTATACTTGGCAATAAAGGCATATATTGAATTAACAGATTTTCTGAAAGAATTGTGATCTTGTTCAGAAATTGCTTGGGAGAAGGAAAACAAACATGAAATGGTCATTAAGCAGAGCGCACATTAGTAGCACAATCTCATCAGTGCCATCTTTAGGACAGGGCAAGTAGACAGCAATCCTGGTACAGAATAAAGATAATGGAAATGTTTGGTTAGGTTCCACAGGTAAAAGGAAAGGACCAATAACTGGATAGGGGTGGCATGAAAAATACAATATTTGTTTTATTTATAACATTACCACAGTCTTAAGCGATAAACATGTCATATGATACAAAAACAATCACATCATAAAATCACATTCGGCGTTACCTTGACATCTCTTGGTGCTGGGACAGAACAGACTTGACGTTAGACAGTACGTCCAGTAAATGGCTCACTACGGCCAACGGCGTATCCTCGTCGGTCTGTCTCAGAGTCATACTGTATAGGTCCTTGTACACTTGCGCAGGATTCGATGACCTGCGATTAGGAACAACGGTTTCGTTATATTCGGACATAAGACGCCCAAGATAAGGTCAAAGGGCAGGTAGATGTGGACATGATGACCAACGTACTTACGTCACTTGATTTGTTGTATACTTACTCCTTCTCCTTCTTGCTGCTTCCACTTTTGGAAAGGCAGAGTTTCGTCAGGCTGCGGAGGACAAACTGCAGTCTCTGCTCCAGTAGTTGCACCAGGGAATTCGCCTCCTCCTGCTCGGCTAATTCTTCTTCGCTCTCATTTCTGCCCTTGAGCACGTCACTGCCGCTACTCAGTCGTGCCTCTCTGACGTCACAGCCTGAGTTTGCGATACGTTCCTTCAAAGTAACATCAGTTTCTGGAGGATTCATCATATCAGAATTAAAATTATGCACCACGTCTTTCTCTGCGACCACGTCAGAGACACCGCATTTCATTGCTGTAACGGTTTGATCTGCTAAACCTTCAGCACAAGTATTGACCTCAGTCACATTGCTCAAAGGTGTTTTGTACAAAATATGTTCTCCTTCAGCCTGACTTTCAGTATTACTTTGAACTCGTTCGTCTTGTGCCTGCTCAAATTTTCTCAAACTTGGACAAACCCGGATTACTCGCTCTCGTTCCAACATCAACTTTAGTATGGGCTGACATTGGCGAATGAGTTCCAGGGCCATCTCCAAGGACTTTAACTTGCCACCGTGACTAGAAGCATCTGAAAATTACAAACTAATCAGCACCAACAAGAATTAACTCTGCTAACAGAACGCAAAAGTTTCAACAGACAAACGAATCCGACTGTCGTATCAGTAACACTCTCAGACCTGCAATCTGGGGTTATCTGGTTTGAATATCAGATGGGCTAAAGTCATTCATTCTCTCCAGGGAACTCCTGGAATAGCGCTTTCACATACATTCCAACAGCCCCCTTCAAAATCTTTACCCGCTTACATTCACTACCATTTTTCCATCTCAACTGATATGACTTTAATGCACTACCCCAGAATTTGTACGCAAGGACCAAGGAAAACCACAAACATCTTTCAGGACAGAGAACCTCTCAAATATGAATCAGGAGTGCTAACCACTATACCACAATAATGAATACTTCCATGATAATTCAAAATATCTACAGTCGAAAAGTCGCAAATATTTTGTATGAAGTTACAAAATGAAAAAAATGAGATATCAAGTTTATGAATGGTGCTCATAATTTCTTAATATGTGAATTATTAGTGGCTATGGATACAATTTAGCGGTAAAAAAAATGTAATTATGGTATACTTTTCAAGGGACTCGAGCGGTAATCAACATACTTTGCGCCTGGAATTCGTTGAGTGCTACACGCTCCAACTGAATTCGCAAGAAATCCAATGGATGCTCCAGCTGTAACATCAGGTGACTCGATTTCTCATAGTGCAGACGCGACAACAACAACACGTTTTTGCGGCGAGCATCATCTGCTGTCAGGGTCCTGAAACAAACGGAGTATTTTGAAAAAATACAACATTTCTATGGGCCCTTAGCATCTGGCATCATTACTGAAAAAAAGTATTCTTTTCTGACTCAAATTTGGTGTTAATGCAACAAGATACAAAACCTGTGTTCTGATGGGAGTACATATATTTTTCTGAAACTGTATTTACTACACACACAAATCATTTCTTTTTTTGCAAAGGTAATCAATCAAATTATAGAAGCACACTGCACCGTAAGAAATGAATCACCACGTCAAAGATGATCCCAAACAAAAGTTTCAGATGTCAATGAGATCTGTATTTTATGTTCAAACCCTGATGATGGAGGGTGCAAGACCTCTGCAACGTCAATAAACTTCTACCAGACAACGTGGCGTTTCAACCCACATGACAGCCATCTTCAAAACATCTGTTGGTTGCACTGACAGCTTTCTGCGCTACTTCCCCTGTATTCTCTTACTTACCTATAGGACTTGTGGTACAGAGATGCGAGTCGGTGATGGATGGTGGCAGCACGGAACTGATAAACAGGCTGACGCGGGCCTGGCGTGTCAAGGTCGCAATATTTCAATGCTCTCATGAGATACTCCACCACTTCCCTCTCCGCCTCTTCCAGGCTCTGAACAAACGCGACAGAAATACAGAAACAGTGTGAGATTTCAGGTTCTCACGTGTCTTCTGGAAAATTGCTCTATGTAGTCTGGTAGAAAATTAGCAACATTTTCAGAGAACCTCTAAAATGTCAAGTCAGTTTCTAACATCTCACATCTCACAAGTCATCTTTAAGAAAATCTTGTTTCCGTGGAAAAGGACAAAAAAACTACATAACAAACAAACATGCTGGTTTCCTCTTGTAACTTAACATGTGGTATCTCATGTTAACACATTCATAACAATATCGCCTCAAGGCACCGCGCAGATAAAGTACGGTATATCTGATTGGAGGGGCGTAGCAGGACATAGAAAAAAACCCCGAGATTAGACGACCTAGTCGGAATACGCACGAACCGTCACGCCTCTAGGTGAACGGAAATCAGTGAGCAAAGGCAGAATTTAATGGTCACGGCTGAGTTCTCTTTGATGACATCATCATTCACCCTGCCCACCCTGATCTCAGATAACGCTGGCATGACCGGTGCCACTCGCAAATGTCGAAAGTCACGTACTGAAGAAACAAAGAGCCTCCCACTACTACTTATACAATTAACTTGAGAGAATTCAAAAGCTGAAATTCTGTGGACAATTACAGAGTGAACACATCAGAATTGTTACGCTCTGCAAGTATTTCCCAGCTTTTCAGTATATATAATAGGCCAATTAAGATCAATGCTCTGGAGAACGACGAAGACAAGTCCAAATTGCACAGCTAATTCAGTCTGGCATTTCCTTTGTAGATACCCTTACAATTTTCCACTGTCACCTTATTGTTCTGAGCTGGAAAGTCCTGCAGTAGGGTAGCCATTGTGAACAACGTCGTGGAGAGTTCCCATATCACGGTGTCCCAGACCGTTGGGTTGTTTTTCCAACTACCTAAAACTTGTACTGCCTTTTGATAACTGCTCAAAGCCTGGAACACGGAAAGACTTTGTTGACACAAACCTGAACAAAATCACAAATTATACATATGTATATCTTTAAACAATAAAAGAACATCGGCCAGAATAGTACCGAGGGAAGTAATGTTTACTTGCTGTAAGTAATAATGAATTACATATTTCGCCAATAACAAATTTTATACAACTCTTGTCCAGGAAGTTCTGATAATGAGTTTACTGTTAACTGCTGTTGTATATTTCAATTTACAAAATTCTGTCTTCAAAATATTGTTCTCGGACAACTACATACTATTACCACTAGACATAGACTTCTTGGAAGTACCACGCTGGCACGCCCTTTGGAGCAGCAGTCAATACATCCCTCACCTCATCTGCATGACACAAACGTTGCCCATTCAACTGAGACTTCACGACTCCAAAGAGGTTAAATCTAGAGGCAAGAGATGCGACAAGTACGGAGGACGGGGCAGGACCATCGCCTTGGCAAATGCAGCACACCACACGTTTTCCAAAGATAATGTTTCATAAAACCATTACTACTTTTGAATTTTTTTTGGCTATGACTGCTACAGCATGTCCATTATCGGAACTTTCTGAACAAAAATCATTTTAACTCAAAAGTCAAGAAAGTTGAAGAAGAAAAAAATGAGATGGCACTCAGACTATTCAAGCGGACTAATTTGTTGCTTGGTGAAGTTGAATTTTATCCTGGTTAGGGTATCTCTGAATGGCACATTTCGATATGAATTATTCTCCCACAGTGCAACCGTCACATTCCTGGAAAGCATTTCGTACATGCTTGACAGAAACAGAAGAAAACCATGACGTATCTCAATCACCTTATTGTAGAAATGACGCTCTTGTCCTGCCAACTCCGAGTGTCGATCACTCGAATCTGGCGAGTAAAAATGCGCGCGCATTCTCATGAGGCGGCCAGTGTTGGAGTGAAGCAATGCAAGGTTGGCTTCATCACGCACGGCATCAAACGCTTTCACACCTGACTCCAGATGGTACAGGGACTGAGAAAACAGTTTCTGGAACACGCTCTCATGGCATTTCTCCTGCTGTTGTTTCATCTCTTCCTGGTACCGTGCTGCAGGAACATGAAAATCGGATGCCACGTTTTCAGGCTTTGGTCACGACAGAAAGGTACAATCAAATGGAGCGGACATATTTCCAAAATATGTTCGTTGCGATTTTCCACCAGCTACAGTTGCATTCTTCTATGGTAAATTTAGTTTAATGTTCATTCCTGACCATAATTCACAACAATATTTGCAGGTACAGTATTTTAGTCCCCATTATTAAGAAACAAAGTTCTTGGATCAACCTATGAACCTCCGTCTGTAATTAACAAATTTCATCATCTATCCGGATAATGGCCGGGTTACGCAGACAGACACAGAGCAGTTATGCGAGCATGAATGTGTTAGCTATCCACTAATACAATTATCTTCACCACATCATCAAAAGATGCTAATTGGTTCATACATAATCTGATGATGCTACATCAACTCCAGACACTACTTAGCATTATATAAGTTCTACATAAAGACTGGAACTAAATTTATCCTGAATAAAAGTCACACAAATTAATTAATTCGGTGGGTGTGTTCTATACCAATAAATTATCATGGTACCATCAAAAACACGAATGCAGATACTAAGATTCAAAGCAGATTCTACATAAAAAATGTTTTTGAGAACGACATTACCTGCAGCTAGGTTCATGAACAGAACCCCTAGCTCATTATGAATATTGCCAAGCCTGCGCTGAAGATTGTTCTTCTGCTGGTCATGGGGCTCCAAGGCCAACGCTTTCTGATAACAGCAGCAGCTTGTCTGTAGCATCTGCTCGATGCTATCGATAGTCTTGGGGATTACATCCAGCACTGCAAATATCAGAAAGAATAATCACCACTACAAATACTGATCGCACAAATGCCATGCTGCAAACTCTCGGTCGGTAAGCCAGAAAGAAGAAGGGTAGAAGCATTTGAAATGTGGCGCTATAGGAGGATGTTGAAAATTAAGTGGACTGATAAAGTACGAAATGAGCTGGTCTCAGACAGGATAGGCGAAGGAAGAAGTCTATGGAAAAATCTTACGAGAAGAAGAGATAGGATGGTGGGATACATCTGAGGCTGATTTTTGAGGATGTGGGCTGCAAAAAATATGTGGAAATGAAGAGATTGGTGCAAGATAGGCGAAAATGGAGGACAGCATCAAACCAGTCGAAAGACTGATGACAAACAAACAACCTATTTTAATGTCAGAATGTGCTACGCTAACAACAAAACAGCTGATCTAAAGGACAAGAATCAAAACCTAGACTACAAGACGAAAAGCAGGGGGTTCCAAACATTCAACCGCATATGTTCAGTGACAACTACCAGAACCTTGCAGCATCCACTTCATACTCACAATCATCAGCTCTGCTCTCGAGGGATATTCCAAGTACGGCCATATCTTTGTCAATTTCCACCACGATATCACGGTCTAAACTGGTGCATTGAGCGTAATCCTCACGATGAGTATCCACCTGTGCCCAGCCCTGCACGATCATAAAGCAGCAGTCCCCCGCACGGCCCAGGAGGTAGCTCCGCAATCCCGAACTAGACGAAGAGCTTGCGAGCGCCGACAGTACAGGAAGCACATGAAGTACGTGCACGATGTACTTCAGGGATCTACCTGAAACACCATCATCCTATACAGAGTAGTGTGAAGAAACTAAATACATGGTACAGGAGGGTCTTGCTTCGGCAGACAAGTGAAGTTACGACAATGTAATCACAAACAGACACACTTCACATGGTACAGGAGGGTCTTGCATCGGCAGACAAGTGAAGTTATGACAATGTAATCACAAACAGACACACTTGTACCCTGTCCTTTGTAAGACCAATCCACTTCATATCTTTACAAACAATTCCTCTACAATCACGTTTAACATTATCCTCCTGTATATGCCTAGGTTCCAGACTGGTCACTGTCCTGATGTTTCACTTGAGGTTTCCCAAGAAAGTTTTCTGTGCACTTCTAGGTTCCCTGTGCATGTTACATATTCTGGAACTCTCTTCCTAATTCTCTTATAACTAACTAACCAACACATAAAGTAGAGTCCTTCTTGAAGAGCTAACACTACGCTCAGTTAGTCAAGAAATTTCCTGGCATTTATGGAACCAAGATTAAAAAACATGAAAGCAGATTACGTAATACAGACAGGAACTTTCTATTAAGCATTAAAAAACGAACTCAACAGAATAAAATCTGAAACAATTAATACCATAATTCTCAGCAATGTAATCACTTTCTGCCAGAGTGACATAGACGAGGCACGCCTTTTCGTAGAGCAGCGTCTTGAGGTGGATGTTCCACGACATCTTGTCTGAATTTTCCGGCTGTTGCCACGTGGGCATTGTCTCCGTCCTGGACTTGCACAGCAGCACCTTTGGAGAACTACCTTCACCCTTCGTGCCAGCATTCTCACCCTTTGTCTTACTGCCGGCAGGCATCGGAACATTTCTCTCTTTCTTCTTCTTCTTGACTGTTCCCGTCGAAACTGGTCCAGATATTTCAGGCTGTTTCCCATTTTCTTTCTGAGGCGAAAGAGGCGAGTAAGGCATCGGGATGGCTTGGAAAGGTCTTGCCATCTTCGGAATCTCTTGCTGTTGTGAATGCTGTGCATTCCCTTTCATGTGTTTCTGAAACATTTGCGTATATGACATAATAAGTTGAGTTACATCAGTAACTCATATTTATGATTTATCTGTTGTTATGTAACAATACTGTCAGTTGAAGATGGCTGTCTTCTGGGTTGTTGCGCCATGTAGTGTGGTAGAAGTTTAAGTAAACTTTTACCACACTACACCGCTGTGAAAACATCAAATCTTACAATACTGTCAGTTGCTCGGGCGACATACCTTCTATACTTCACTGATCATGATATTCATTTCCTGCAGACACAAATCTATTGTTTTAATGACTCCAATATGTAGCAATAAATTATTTTCCTTCTATTTCTTTAAAACATAATCTACGTCTTCCCAAGGCTCTTCCACTTAATGTGTGCTGCCAATGTGACAAACAACTTTTACAATAAAAGCTGTGAGTCATAATGAGAACTACATTCCAGTTTCTGTACGATGATTTTCAAAAGTATGATTTGAGTTTCACGTAAAATAGGGGTTACACAATATTTATTCAAACCATAATTAAATACATCTGATAGCTTTTAGCATAAACGCAGTACCAAATCTCATCGAAATCTGTCGAGTAGTTTCAGCCACAGACACAAAATCCATATCACACCTGCATTTTGTACAAAGAACCCAGCACGACCATTCGACACACCTGAAACTGTGAGTTCTCCTGGACCCCTTCCTGCCGTCTGATATCGTCCTGGTCACTGGTGTCAAAGTACTGAAGACACTGCAGTCCCAATGCAACATGCTGGAGCGCCATCTTGCAGCGCTCCTCCACTCCACCACAAACGGGAGGAGGAGAACTGAACTTTGATTCGTCGTTGGCTGCACTCTGACAGCCCGTATCTGGGGTCGAGACACACAATGCCTTCACAGGGACACTGCTGCTACTGTTCAGTGAACCTACATTACAATCAGATTCAGTTGTTTAACAATGCTGTTTCAACTACACTGGTTATGTAATATCAAATGAGCCATGAAGATGAATATAAATGGGCTGTAATTCCAGGATTTGCCTGAAAAGACTGACGGAAAATATAAAAATTCTCGCTGCAATCTCTTCCTGGAAATTTAAGATGAGGATAGATAGATCCATTTGTTTCATGTACCATGTGCAAATAACACACAAGGAAGTGATACCTGCTTCTTTGAAAAACATCTCTGTCGTAAGGACAGTCGGTGTCTTACGGCTTCTAGACCACCAGGTCTCAGGAAATTTCTTCTCATGGCAAATATGACCACAACCAATTCATTATGGCTGCATCAAGAAAAGTAAAATAAAATGAAATTCTAAGCATGTATGTACAGATCTGTAAGGTAATCTTTAAGAAAAACAAATTTTCTAACATCCATTGGCATGTATGTACAGATCTGTATGGTTAACTTAAAGAAAAACAAATTTTCTAACATCCATTACAACAGGGTCTGAATGATAAGTAAAACAGAAGTTTTAACATCACTGATATTAATCGATATGTGAAAAATAAGTCACGAAATACAATTACAGGCTATAGATTCATACCTTCATAAGAGACATGCCATATAGTGTGGCGACAGCTGGAAGTTAGATTCCTTACTGTTACTTCAAATTAAAATTGGAAATCAAACATTTTCTGTTTGCAAGTAAAGTCACCATTTTCAATAAGTTTGAATATACACTGACATGCTTGCTTGCAAATTTTCTTTTGAAGGGTAATTTATATATTAAACAAAAATTATCAATATTACTCCCCTTTTATTTTAGCTATCAAAAATTTCTGATGGCCGCGCTTAAAGAACGACAGTTCTAGAAAGACTGGAACGTGTTACAAATGTTTCAACGATTCAGTACCTTCAAATAAATTATCATCCTCACTACTCTTTCCTTCATCCTCCATTCCATTTTGGTCGCAGTTTCCACAGTCCTCATCATTCAGTGGTCCATCCAGTCCAGGTGATGCAGGATCTGTATCAGCAGGTACATACAGATCTGACATCATGTAGTGTGCTGAAGTTACTATCTGAAGAAAGAATTCTGCCATTACAGATGTGGCAGTATGCACACGTCTAAATAATACGACGTCGCTTTGGTATTTAAACAGGATTCATAATTTTTACGCGTTTACGCATTGTAAACTAATGTCCTGGTATTTCAACACTATAGATTAAACACTGCTAATTTATACTGAATGCACTCATGTGCAAACTCAATCTCACAAATACAATGTTATTACTGACAGTGTATAAAATTTTATAATTTATTTTGAACAAACAAAATGTTCTATTAAATTTACATCAGTAATGACCAAAACAGTAAATGAAAAATATTATTTTTACTAAATTGGCAAGTTGGCCGCGGAAGGAGGTTCTGACAGGAAAATAACAATTCCTGCACGATAGACTGGTTGTAGAAGCCGCAATCCCTGGCTCCCTAAATCCACAGATCTAATGCCCACAAACTTGTTAAATACAATTATCTATGTTTCCCCACTCTTACCCTGTGAACTTAATAACCTATGCACTGAATCTGTGATATAATTGCAAGAACTGAACACAAGATCTTAAAAAAAATGCTTCAATATGTTTCCTGACCAAAATTCTGTATGGATGTTACTTTTAAAACAATGAAACTAAGCAAAAACAGGACAACTGACGTTACCTGAGGGTACTTCTCCTTCACAAGCAGAGTCAGACAATTTTTAAGTAACATACGAATGGTTCCTTGCTGCCTCCGTCCATCTGACGAATGCTTCATATTTCTTGCTACCCTAAAACGTAAACAAGTAAAATTTTGATAAACAACTTAACAAAACCTGAAAATTTGTTTAAAAGAATCACATAAATTATGGAAAGAGAAACAAGAAAACAAAAATATGGTCCTGAAAGAATTTAAGATACAAACTATCTTTTAAACATAGACCGCTGGTTACTTAGCAACAGCACTGCAACAAACAACAGGCTGTACCTCAAACCTTCCGTATCGCCTATGCTACAGCAATCTATGATCTTAGCTCACACTCACCTATAAAGTAACATTGCCACGGGAACAGTGAATGGGTTCTGTCCCTTGTCATCCATCACGTCTGTGCACAGAGACGTCAAGTCATACAGCTTCACCACATCATCGTCTTTACCTACGACACATAAAACATTCCCAGAGTCCTCCGTCACGCAGCGTTAAGACAAACAGTTGTCATTTTCACACCAGAACACTTCCTTAAAATGGGCCACAATAATTTCCTCCTTCATCATTCCCAGCAAAACTCACCTCACTAGATATAAATAGCCTCTAAAGTTGATATAACACTATTTACAGCCTACAAACAGACACAGATGTCTTAACTGAATATTACCTGAATCAAATCTTCTCAAACTCGTTAGCTCATCATTTCCCCGCGTTACATATACCTCAGAAATGTTAAACAAAATTTCAAATAAACCTGGATCCAAACAGCAATGCCATTTTGGTATGCCAGTAGACTATTTAATGACACTGTAAGAACTACAGAGATTACGGAAATGTTATTCATTACATCAAGACATTCTGCTATCTTTTCAAAGTAAAGACTAAGAACAGTAAGAAAACACAGAGAGGACAATGTGCTTTTTCAGACAAGACTCAAACATGTTACCAAAGAAAAGCCAGGCATGTTAAAGCTAAGCTAACCTAAACGATACGTCTAAGGGCTGTGGAAGTGACGACTGACATTTATACTTGTATAGTACACGACTGTAATCTTGAGACTCGCATGGAATGCAGGAAGTCCGAAGCGTTAAAGGATGACGCTATCTTTCCTCCTTCCTCCTTCACCCCACAAGTACGTACTCACCTTTAAATAACCAGTATGTGTGCCCAGCCTTGGTGGCATTAGACTTGAGGAAAGACAGAATATTTTGGGCAACATCTCTGATAACTTTTGGTGAAAACTTTGAGTTCTCCATGTGTGGCAGGTCTTCCGTCTTTATGAGCTCATACTTCTGCACTAATCCATCCAGATGGTAGCACATGACCAGCTCCGGTACATTGCACATCAAGTTATCAAGCCAATAATCAATCCCCGTCAGAACGTTGATTGGCTTCGACATATCCCTACATAAAGACAGTAACCTTCTTGAAAGCTGACAATAATTCAGCTACTCAAAATATAGTTCCGTATATTTAAATCCTTAAGTTTTTAGATCAGCCACAGACTAACTAACTAACTAGATGGCTTACCGAACCCGAAGGTTCATCACCGAACTAACCAAAGCCCTCCACCGGACCTTGTCCAGGGCCCACAAAATCAAGTCTCCTTCAACTCTGATAGATCCCGCCTCATATTATCCTCCCATCTACGTCTAGGTCTCCCCAGCGGTCTCTTCCCCTCAGGCTTCCCAACCAATACCCGGAGCACACCTCTTGTCCCATCCATGCGCGCTACATGCCCAGCCCATCTCATTCTTCTCGACTTAATCACCCTGACAATACTGGGGGAGGAGTACAGATTTTTAGGCTCGTCATTATGCAATTTTCTCCATGCCCCATCGTCTTCTCTCTTAGGCCCAAATATCCTCCTCAACACCCGATTCTCAATCACCTGCAATCTGTGTTCCTCCCTCAGGGTGAGAGACCATGTTTTGCACCCATACAAAACAACAGGCAAAATTATTGTTTTGTATACTTTAATTTTCAGGTTTAGGCCTCAGACAGACAATAAATTTATAAATGAAAATCAGTGCCAAGGCATTGAACAAATAACCCACTAAACACAGAAGTAAAACAATGCACTGGTTTATTTATTAAGATCTAACGCGGATTAGTTATCTGGTGCAGACAGTGGCGTCGGACCACCAGGCACCGAAGAACTTGAATTTAACTGAAATGTACCTGAGCCTGAGGCTGATGCATGGGTGAGTTGTGTCCCAAAATATGGGCATATCTGTACCGATAAGCATCTGGATATCCTCAAACGTCCACACAACATTGCGCGCAAACTTGTGGTTAAATGTTGGGTCAGGAAGATTCTCCTCTGGCCTTGGCTCTGGCAAAG